TGTCGTTTCAGCCATCTCAGTGTCAGTCCAGTTCTGAGCCCTCCTGGAGAGGTGTTGCAGTCATGTGGAGGAAAAGGGGCACTCTGGCTTTTGATTTTTTAGCATTTTTGCATTGATTGCTTCTCACTTTTGTGGGTTTATCTACTTCAATCTTTGAAGTTGCTGATTTGGGATGGGGTTTTGTGGGGTTTGTTGTTGTTGTTTTCTGTTTGTTTTTTTAATAGCCCTATTGAAGTCTGGCCACTCATCCATAGGGCTATTGTGATTTGCTGGGAGTCCACTCCAGACCCTAGTTGCCTCAATTTTTCCTGTAAGTGGAGGTATAATATTATCAATGAAGGCTGCAGGACAGCAAAATGGTAGCCTGCTCCTTTCCCTAGAAGTTTCATCCTAGGGATATACTGACCTATTGCTGGCCCAAATGTGCCTGGAGACGTGGCTCCCAACACTGTTGGGAGGTCTCACTCAGGAGAAATGAGATCAGGGTTCAACTTTAAAAAGCAGTCTGGCTGCTTTTCAATAGAGCTGCTGTGTGCTGTGTTGGAGATTTCTTCAGCCTCTAATCGGTTTGGGCTCTCCAAGGTCCACAGGCTGGACTCGCTGAGAAGCCTGAACGTCCAAGTTGGTGACCTGCCCCACCCCTCAGGCACTTCGTCCCATGGAGAACAGAGGCAAGGGTGGCCAGAGGCCACAGCTAGGAGGACCTGCCCTGTGAGGGAGTGGATGCGGGGATGGGGCACTTAAAGAAGCAGTCTGGCCATGCCTTCACAAAGCAGCTGTGTTGTGGTGGGGAACGGCCTTTTTCCCCATCAGCTTGGACTCTCCAAAGCCCACAGGCTGTGGAATGACCGAATCGTCCAATATACCCAGGTGGCGACCCTCCCCTCCCTTGGTCACTCCATCCCAGGGCTAGAAAATAGCTCTGTCATGCAGGCAGGTGTGGCTGGAGGGCCCCATTTGGGAGGTCCCACCCAGTAGGAGGAATGGATCAGGGCTCTGCTTAAAGAAGCAGTCTGACCATGATCTGGCAAAGCCACTGTATTACTCTTCTGGGGAACCCTTCTTCCTCATCTGGACCCTTTGGACTCTCCAAAGCCCACAGGCTAGAATGGCCCAGTCAACCAAATAGCAGAGATGGTGTCTGCACCTCTCCTCGAGACTCCATCTGGTCTCAGGCAGGCTTTGCCCTGTTGCCAGTGGCTGGCTGAAATTCCAAGCCAGTGGGTCTTATCGTGTAGGGTGCCATGGAAACAGGGCCCGCAGAACAGTGCCACTCGACTCCCTGTATTCTGCCCCCTTCCTACGGGTATGTGCAGACCTCCCACCTTGCCTGAGTTGCAGACACCTTTGTTGGAAATCCCAGGGTGGAGTTTGTAAAGCTCCACTCTCTCTCTGCGCATGATTGAGCGGTTGCTCTGCCAAGGCTCCACACAGCTCTGTGTGTCAGGCCCAAGGCTCTGGTGTCATGGGCCCACAAGGAGATCTCCTAATCTGTGAGTTGCTAATATCCACGGGAGAAGCATGGTTTCTTGGGGTCACAAAGTCACTCACTGCTTCCCTTGGCAGGGGTTGGGGGTTCCCTTGACTCCGTGTCGCTCCTGGGTAGGCCGTAGCCCCATCCTGCTTTTCTTCATTCTCCATGTGTGAAGTTGTTTCCCTAATCCATCTCAGTGTGAGAACCTGAATATTTCAGTTGAAAGTGTTGTCTTTACTCATCCCTTTCATTCCTCTCTTTGAGCGCTGCAGACTTCAGCTGCTTCTAATCAGCCATCTTGGCCCCTATCTCACCTGTTTCTCTTGATTGGTTAAAAATTCTAGGCTATTTGACTTATTCGTCAACTACCAATTTGAGTGGTCCAAACATTCCTGAATATGACTTGTATCCCATGTATTAACTTTTATTACTTTGAAATACAGTATTATACTAAAAATTGCAACTCCACTTAGGTTATTTTTACTGGTAATGATACATTACCTTAAAGATGTACCCTTGATTATAAAACTTTTGACATTAAAGATCTGACCCGATAGACACAATAGCTTCTATAACAAAGAAGAAAAGTCACACAAAATTCTGTATCACTTAGTTACATAAAATGTTATTTTTTACATTAAAATAAAAGTCACATTAAAATGCATGCAAAACCTGGGAAGATACAAATGTCAAATATACTGGTTTAATATCCATCATGAGTAAGAAATTATACCACTACATAATAATGCCAAGACATTAGGAGAAAATAGAGGCCAATGATATACAAGATAAGTCATAAAAGAAAAAAATATAAACACCCAATGCTTATTTTTGGTCAACTAAGTAAATACATTTTAAAGTGACAAATCAGTGTTGGTGAGTATTTCACAAAAAGGATCCTCTGTATTGTTCTGCAAGTCAGAAAATATTTTCAGGAAAATAGCTAGACAATATGTCTTTGGACATTTGCAATCTCTTACAATACAGTATTTTGGTCCAAAAATCATAAGGTAAAAAGAGAAATGACCACTAGGATTTAAGTCCAAATATGTAATTTGCAACATTAATTACAATGTCAAAAATTGGGAAAGAATTAAACACATAGAAATATGTCGATGGCATTTAAAATGTCTGTGCTAACTTTTAATTGTATGGGGAGATATTATATAATATTAAACAAAACCTGTAGGATATAAAATCTATCAATCTATCAATCTAATGAAATATATGTAGTCATGTGTCACTTTAAAATGGGGATGCATTCTGAGAAATTCTGTGTGAGTTTTAACACTTTGTAAACACAAGAGTATACAAAGACAAACGTAAATTGTGTAGCCTACTACACACCTAGGCTATATGGTACAGCCTATTGCTCCTAGTGTACAAATCTGTACAGCATGTTACTGTACTGAATACTTTAGTCCACTGTGTAAAAAACTGGTATTTGCATGTCAAAAAATACAACAGATACAGTGAAAATATAGTATTAAATTTGATGTTACCACCATTACATATGAAGTTCATTGTTGAAAGAAATGTCATCATGTGATACATGACTGTTTGTGGAAAATGTATGGACAGAAATAGAGCAAATTGTTTTTAGAGGTGGAAATATTTTTACATTACATTTCACTTCTTTCTTCATAATATTCTCTACTTGTAATAAGGAACGTGTATTCATTGTGCTATCGGGGAAAATAGCCTGAAATTATTTTTAAAACAAAATCCAATAGAGGAAAAGAAGGAAGAGTGGGGGAGAGTAACCAGAAACAAAATATGTGTACTTCCATAAAACATGCACACAAAATATGCACACATGCACACGTGTGCACACACACACACACACACACACACACTGCAACTGAACATCTAAAGATGTTTATTTTTTCAAACTTTTCATTTTTTATCCCAAACGAAACATGTAGAGTAACCTTTTAAAATCAACTGCGTCTTATAGTGGTGTGACATTACTGTTTTCAAAGAAATAACTGACTATGTGACCTTACCAAAAAAAGTTTATTAGCTTTACACTGGAAAGCAGTTTACTGACTGACTGGAATTTACAACAGCCAGAGAGAAATATGCACTCAAATATCTACTGCCATTCGGTTACCTAAATATTAGACATATCTGCCTGCTGCTCAGTCTTCTAGTGTAAATATTTAAAGTAATAAAACTCAATGTGACCTTTTCACTTAGATAGTTCTGAATTTTCTTTCTTTCTCTTCCTCTTCCTCCTCTTGTCCCTCTCCTTTTCCTTGTTTCATTTTACACATACACACTGATTTACCATCACACATCAACATTTTATTTCATCACCATAAATGAAGAAAAGATGTTCTAGGAAGATAATAGAAAATGTAAGGTATGGGGGCATTAGCATACAAAGGAAGAAAGGAAGGAAGGAAGGAAGAAGAGAGGGAGAGAGGGAAGGAATGACAAGGAAGGAAGGGAGGGAGGGAGGGAGGCAAAGGAAAGAAAGAGTGAGAGGAAAGAAAGAGAGAGAGGAAGGAAGGAAGGAGGAAAGGAAAAGAAAGGAAAGGAAAGGAAAGGGGAAAGGAAAAAGGAAAGGAAAGGAAAGGAAAGGAAGAATTTAATGTGACAGTCAATTGTTTATCTCTAATTTCCATTATGTTATTTATTCTGAAATCCTATTATATTTTTATAGTGATTAATTTTGCCTCACCATAAAAAGCAATACGTGTTAGACAACATAGATGAAACAAAATATGTAAACTGTATCCAGGGGCGACCTTAATAAACATGTTGGATTCTAACAATCTTTTACTTGTATTTATAGTTGTGTTGCTATGGAGATCTTATTTCAAAACTAAATACTACATATATAATTCTTAATGTTATCATTTTAATTAAAAGATAAGAAGTAAATTTTCTATGCCATTAACAATCACATAGTGTTCTCTTTACAACAATGGCTTTTGGAGTCAACGAAAATTAAAAATGGTCACGCTGTGTGGTCTTAATAATAATTATAACAGTAATAAAAGATTAACAGGTAACAGTTATGTTCACTATATGCCAGAAAGTGTATTAAATTCTTTGCCTATAGTAACTCATTTAATCCTCAAGCAACCTTACAAAGCAGGTACTATTATCTTCCCTATTGTATATGTGAGAAAATGGAGACCAGGCATTCTCAACTTGCCCTGGATCCCGAGCTAACAGTGGAGCCAGCGTCAGAACCCGGCAGATTTGTGTAAAAGCCCACGTGGCACTGACTTTATAACAAACCTACCAAAATTTAGCAGAATTCATTGCACAGTCAAAAAACACTCATTTTCCCCCTTTTTAAAAAAGTACTTTTTTTCCATCTTTAATAACTTGTATGTACTTTGAACATAAAGTATTTTTAAATGTCATTACTTACTGGTATCCCAGTTTAACTCAAACGGATAGAGCTTTGATGGAATGTCGGCCTCTAGGGGCAGTAAATGAAAGACCTCCTACTTCACAGAGTTGGCCAGAGCGTCATTGCGTTGTTTCTTTTTCACTCCTGTGTATGCAGGAAGCAACCAGCTTGGCCCCATATATGGCCACACATCAGTGATGACCGGAAGTTTGCTGGATGACCACCACTGGCACTCTGTGGTCATTGAGCGCCAGGGGCGGAGCATTAACCTCACGCTGGACAGGAGCATGCAGCACTTCCGCACCAACGGAGAGTTTGACTACCTGGACTTGGACTATGAGGTACACTTGATGACGTAGAAATTGTGATAAAACGTCGGGCAACTGCGTCACTCTCCTACTGTACTGTATTATTGTTAACTATATTACGAGTTACACCATTTTTATTTTCTTCTCTAAACAAAAAGACACGACAATTTTAAAAACCTAATTAATTTGTTTCATTTTATTTCTAAATTTATAATCATGAGTACTCGAAATATTATACAAATCTTAGTACCAAAGTAATAATTTGAAGAGAGGGACTGTGCTATCTAGGTCATTTAATACATTCAGAATAAATTTAATTTGTAATCCTTTCATTTATAGTTAATCATGTTATCAATTCTCCTTGAGAATGTGCAGTACATTATATACAGAGGGTTGTCTAATATTTATTATAAAGTATTGAATAAGAAATCCTAGTTTCTGGTTTATATTAAGTCATTTAGAAACACATGACTATAGATGGGTCTTTTGTCAAGCTCTGTTTTCTCAAAGTCAATATCACAAAAACAATACAGTAAAATACAGACTATTTTAAAACGATTGTCTATGAACACAAAGACATATTATCTTCTCAATAATTAGAGATTAAAAATAATCATTGATCATGTTTATATAAATAAAAATATATTCCCATAGCTTAAGAGTAGGTATATCATATTTTAAAATTATTTGGAGAGCAATTCAACCTTAAAATATCCATTAAAACTGTTAATCATATATGTAGGTGAGCTCTTTAAGATGTTTGTCGGCCAGGCACGGTGGCTCATGCCTGTAATCTCATCACTTTGGGAGGCTGATGCAGGCTGATCACAGGGTCAGGAGTTCGAGACCAGCCTGACCAACATGGTGAAACTCCGTCTCTACTAAAAATACAAAAATTAGCCAGTTGTGGTGGCACGCGCCTGTAATCCCAGCTACTCAGGAGGCTGCGGCAGGAGAATCGCTTGAACCCAGGAAGTGGAGGTGGCACTGAGCCGAGATGTGCCCCTGCACTCCAGCCTGGGCAACAGAGTAAAACTCCGCCTAGAAAAGAAAAAAGAAAAAAAGATGTTTGTCACAGTATTATACATCCTAAGAGAAAAGGATAACACTAGACATACAAAAGCAGCAGCATGGTAAAATAAAAGGGATGCAATGCTATTACTTAGCCGGAAGTTTCTACACTTTCTTAGTTCACATAGCCCTTAGTGTTTTCAAACTTTTTCCACAGCAGTCCTGAGCCATTAGGTCCAAACAACTTAAAAATTTACGTCCTAAGACTTTGGTAGCCATTTCGAGAAATAAACATAAAATAAAAGTGAAAGTAGATTTTTATTTCATTCTTAAACAACAGCAATTATTACTAATGGGATGAATGCTAGGTATGTCTATCAGAGTGGGGATCAGATTTGCCACTGGCATCCTAATTTTCTGTTCCACTTTTAACTTACATGATACTCTGTCTAAATCAGAATAATGACCAAATCCAAAAAGCACATGATTAAAAGGAATGACACATTATCTAATACTGGAACAGTAAACTACCTTAAGCTAGAGTTTCACACAATGTCCAAAAAGTGTCAAATATTGTTGTGTTTTCTTTAAAAATTTCAAACATACTGTGGCACCCCTATTAGTTTTCTGCACCACCTTCATGTTCCTTGGCCCCCAGTTTTGAAATTGGGGGTGTATTCATGTATATATGTGTGTGCTATGTATATTTATGTATAATTTTTTAAGAATATGGAATATGCTCATCATAAAATAAATGGAAAACACAGGATTAATAGCTGTGTTTTCTATTTTCTTTATGTTTAAATAGTTTCTATTTTTTGCAATATGAATATATGATATATATTCCTAAATAAAAAATTAAGAATAGAATATGCTATATAAACACTGATGGAGATTTTATTAACATTAAATGAATTTAAGGTTATTGAAAAATATTGTACCCTCCCCCCAAAAATATCTCTTAAAAGCAAACTGATTGTTAAAAGAAAATGTATGTGAAAATCCCAGAAATTTCTATCTTCTCTAAGTTAGTGTGTATCTTGGCTCATGTAACTTATCTCCCAATGTATGAGAGATCTTAAAGATGAATTATTCATCCTCCATTAATAAACTTTGAAGTACCATAGAAGAGGTGAAAATTCTGGAACATTCAGAATGAGGAAATATAATTCTAATTTTCAAAAAACCAAATTAAAAATTTGGGGTCATAAACCTTGTTGAGTGTGTGATGAAGTCTATGAATATTCATGCTCACATAACACTTTCTATATTCAATCAGCAGTTTCATGGACACGTTGAAGCCCATCTATATACACTGCCATGTTTGAGAGCTGCAGATATAGACTAAAATACCCGGGACTTACTTATTAGACAAAAACACTAGTAAGAAATTTAAATTAACTGACAAAGAATCAGGGTAGACTTAACATTTCTGGCTACTGCCAGATTACTGTCCTCTTAGAGACTGCAATTATTGGCATGAATAAAAGTGGCTGTGCCTACCTTTATATTGCTACACTTTTCTCTTAATGGAAAGGGACTCCCTTTGCTTATTTGTTTAGAGAAAACCTCAGGGACTGGGCCGGGAACGGTGGCTCATGCCTGTATTCCCAGCACTTTGGGAGGCTGAGGTGGGTGGATCACCTGTGGTCAGGAGTTCGAGACCAGCCTGGCCAACGTGATGAAACCCCCGTCCCTACTAAAAATACAAACATTAGCCGGGCATGGTGACAGGTGCCTGTAATCCCAGCTACTTGGGAGGCTGAGGCAGGAGAATCGCTTGAACCCAGGAGGCGGAGGTTTCAGTGAGACAAAATCATGCCATTGCACTCCAGCTTGGGCAACATGAGTGAAACTCCATCTCAAAAACAAAACAAAACAAAACAAAAACCAGACAAACAACAACAACAAAAACACCTCAGGGACTATATTGGCGTCAGTCTGTAGTTTTGTTGCACTTATCTCCTTGATATATCCACACACTAACTACACTCAAACCTCACAGACTGCATGAAAATTAACTTCAAAGTTAAAATAATACAAATTATATAATGTTCATTATTGAACTATGTAAAGGCTTTGGCCTAAAGGAAGAGAAAGGTGGTCTTGTTATCTTCACAAAACCTGACGACTCAATGTCCTGCTTCCCCAAAATTATACTGCCTTTATTCTTCCAGACTACACTAACGACAAAGGCATTGAGGCCCAAAGGTAGGGGTGTGCTGGTGGATGCTTAACAACCAGTTCTCTCCAGGGAGGAATGGTCAGAAGAATGCCCTGATATATAGGAGTTGTTAATTTTCATGGTGCGAATTTCTTAATTTCACAATTTAAGAGTGGTGTGAAACCAGTGTTAAGTATTTTGCCTGCAAGAAATTGCTTAGAACGACAGCAGTCCCTAAACTCCTCAGTATCATTTAGTATGTTTACTTATAACTATTACTCATCATTTGGCCCGCTGGGTCTCCTTTTGTATTGGAACGGCCCTGCTAAGGGACTCCCTGTCGTGGACTAATTCTGGAGCGTGGAACACCGCTGGGCAGAGGGGCTCTGTGCTGTGAAATCTGAAGCTGAGAGGACGGATGGCATTTAGTTTAGTGCATTCCTCCGCGGATGCTCATTTCATTTTTAAAAACGTCTCTGAACTGCTGGGACGGTTCTTCCTGGATTTTGTGTAGTTCTCTTCAGTTACACACATAAGTCCTTAGAGATGCATTTTGCTAGTGAGGTCTTTCAATATGTCAGGCTCTTTTCATTTAAGCTTAGACATTCTAGATGTTGGGCCATTGTAGCTGAATATTTCTCTTCCCTTGCCTTCATGTAAAATGACCCTAGTGTAAAGTATAAACCTGGTTTGTTTGCAAGGAAAATGCACTCTTCAGTTTCATGTTTCTAGGTGAAGGAGTCTGTCAAAGTGCTGCCTGTCATTAATGATAACTGTAGAAGGTCAGTTTGCTTTACTGTAACATTAATTTATCATGTGACTTGTAAGTATCATGTAAGTGTGAGAACACAGCCAATAAAAGCCATAAAAATAAGTCAACTGCTAAGAGGTATTTCAATTTTTTTTAGAAATTCACTGGGTGAGTTGTCACTGATACATTTTATTAAATTACTTATCCAAACAGTGAAAATCAGGTGAGAAATTTGTCTTCTAACAGCTTTTTTCATAATTTCCATTAATCCATATTGAATTTGCTTTCTTACTGGAGGCTATTTTAAGTAGTCTTTTATCAGAATCAGAGATTTGATACTAATCCTACCTTTTAGTTATGAACATTAGAATATTCATTAACAGGATTTGTAAGTTCTCCCAACTAAACAGACGTGGTATATTCAGTTTAACATAAAACCCATACCAGAAAACTTCATTCTAGTTATAAAGCCCAACTTTCCTTAAACCTCAATATCATTTGATCCTCAAACTAAAATCTTTTGAGACTACCAGTTATGCTATACTTTCATTACAGTGTAGAAGGAACCCTGTTAGACACAGTATACCTAAGTTTTGGGTCCAGCTCTCTCTAACTGCCTGCGTGAACAGAAACTTGTTATTGTACCTGTTTCCTCTTCTGGGGGAAAAAGGATTTGAAGTAGAACAGTAGTTCTTCACCAGGAGACCATCAGATCTCTTTGTTATTTTTTTTCTGAAATATACTTGTCCATATCTCTCTGCCATCCTTCAATCCCATTCTGATGTAATGAAGCTGGGGTGGTTAATTTCCAGTTAAATTTGTCTTGGAGAGATGACGTCTCTCATTGGATCCACCTCTACAAGATGTGACTCTGAAATCACAAGAGCTGGGGTTGCAGCATTTGCAGCAGTAATTGTATCAATGGCATCAATAGTGTTATAAAAAGTGTTTATGTCTAGTTCTAGCAATGAAAGTCTTGATTAGATGTTCTCATTAAAATCAGAACAAATACAACTTTCTGATTAAAATAAATGGGTTAGCTGTTTCTCAATCTGTTATGACAACAAATCTATTTCTGGACCAAAAATCTTGATGTGTAATGTAAGATATGGTCCAACATATGTTTCAGTAAGAATAAAGAATATTTAAAAGTATAATGGTCTTCACTAGACTTCTCAGTGGGAAAATGGTACAGAATGGAAGTTCTGTAACCT